AGAGCCTGGCGCGGCACCTGGTTGCCCGTGGCGAGCTGGACAGGACCATCGCCGAGACCGAGGCGGCCTACGGCAAGGTAACACCCCCGCCCGGGGCTCCCGGCACCCGCCGTGCCCCGCAATGAGGAGGCTGGGCGTTGGGCTGGGGCTTGTTTTGGTGCTGTTTGAGCTCGGGGAAAGCATATTGCCCAAGCACATCAAAATGGTCCTTGGAACGGACCCCTAAAAAAACCAAAACCAAACCAAACCAAACCCACCTCACAAACCGTCGTTTTGAGGAGGAAAAAAGGAGGAAACCAGAGACAAGTCACTGACCCAGAAGACCATGAAGTCATGCAGGTAACCACAACCTGTGGTGACAGGCACTCCTTTTGCCCAACTTTTAATTTAATTTCTACCATCTTTAATGAAATAATGTCATTAAAAGACTAGAAATGTGGGACCAGTGAAGGGGTGGGAAGGAGGCAAAGGGTGCAAGGGCCGTTACTGTTACTTCGGTTCCTGGGATGGCTCAGCCCTTTCACCTTCCCCCTATCCATCAGCTCTGCCAGGCAGGGACTGCTTGATCCTGCGTCCAGGATACAGCTGAATTCACTTCTGAATTACCCACCGATCAGCTTTTTAAAAAAACAAAAGGACCTTTCCAGCCTGCTTTCAGATAAGCAATGATCTTCCTTCTATTGGTAACAAGGAACTGTTTGGTTCAAAACACCCCTTCCCCTATTAGCTGCTGCCTAAATTCTCCCTTTCCCATTTGTTTTTTGCATGTGATCAACTTCTCTGTGTCAGATCCTCTTCATCTCCCAAAGTCAGTGCTTTCCCATGACAATTATTTTTCAGATGAGGCTGGAGCTGTTTTCTCAGCCTACTTCAAGAGTTGATCGTTTGGGGTGAAGGGGGGGAACTCACCTAAAGATCTAATAGCTTAAAAATTGCGTTGTAAAGCTACACAAACAAACAGCCCCTTTTAAAAGAAACTTTACCTGAGATACAAGTCACAACCCCCCAGCCTACAAATGAATTCATGTTTATTGAAATTAAAATATGCTCACAGTAGGTAAATAGCAGAGGTGGTTAGGAGAGGAGATGCAGACGTCCTGCAAACAGAAACCAGTGACAAAGTTCCTTTCCTGTGGATGTACATCTCTCATCCGTAATCGCACTCCTTGCCTTCCCCCAGCCGCTGACAGTCGCAGACCTCCACCTTCTTCCAGGGACAAGATGGCAAGATCCCACCAACACCTTCCACTGGTGTCTCATCCTGTGGGGCACTTACCTCGATCTCTTCTCTGACCACTTAGGGATTTCCACAAGTTCATAGGAACGTAAATGATCTTTGGGACAACCCTACTATCACCTTTTGTTACAGTTGTCCACCGTGTTAAAGCTTTAAAATGGTGAGATGGACAGGCAGCAAGATCTCCTACACCTGTTGTAACTTCGCTTCCTAGAGCACAGTAAGTGGAAATGTTAGATTACGTACAGTATAAGCTAAAAATAGGAGAAAATTAATAAAAGGAAATATTTAGTCTGACTTAAGGTCATTGTGGAGTTGAGTTAGTCTTGAAGCAAGAAACCTAAAGTGTGTGTTTTTAACATGGGAAGACAGTTGAAACTGGGTCAGCTGAGCACAATTTAATACTGATCTAAAAAGTCCAGGTATCAACATCTCCCTTAAAAAAAGTTCACCCCACAGCCTGCTTCAGGAAGTTCTCTCCCTTGTGCTCCAAGACAGATAAATTGCTTAAGCTGTTTCTATTCAGAATAAAGGCATGAACCAGAGAAATTCCTCCACAGATATTCCCACAGTGTGACAGGACGATACATCACCAAGAATTAGATATTCTAAGGGCTAGAGAAACCCTCTTGCTGTAAGGTAGGTCAGCTGAATTCGAAGGGAAGTCATAAGAGAAACAGTTTATGTAAAAAATAAGCTATTTTTGTTTCTTTCTTTCCCAGATACTGGAGAGTTCTCAGACATTGCTAGATGTCCTGAAGGGAGAAATTGGGAATGCTGGTAAAGCCAGTGAGCCGCAAAGCACTTCAAAAGAGAAGGAAAAACAAGCACATGGACAAAAGCATTCCTAAAATTGTTCTTCAACCTGGAAAAGTCCTGTTGGCCTGGGACAGCTGCTGTTCTGGTACCAGGATGCCACATTTAATAAAAGTCTTTGTTTTGCAGAAGTAAATTTTCCTTTCAGAGGCATTTTGGTATTAGTTTAGTTAATAGATCTACTAATGTTAATCCTCAAATGCTTGAGATCAGGGTGGACATCTACAAAAAAATACCCTTTATTTTGAGCACAGTGACACTGAAGCATATCCCAGGAGGTGACTTACCAGCTAATGCTTCTGCCCTCAAAACAGCATTGACCTTGCTCTGCCAAGAGCAAGCTAAGAGTTCATCTGGTACAGAGAGTGATTAGAGTACAAAGCCGGGAAGTGCGAAGGCAGCAGTTGGGAAGGTGCAAATCACAGCTACAAGGTAGAGCAGGCAAACTGGAAGAAGGAGTAGAGCAGTCAGCAGCACACCAGGGCACTCCGTGCTCCTCTTGAGAAGGACACTCTGCACTCCCACACCTCCACTGAGCCTGCCCTAACCCAAGAAGTTGTAGGCACAGAGCTAATTCACCGAGAACAGCACGCAGAATACCAGAGCAGCATTTCAGTTGGCTGAAGTCAGTGGAACAAGCTGCAGGATATTGTTGGCTTTAGCATTCCTCACTGATCTGTAGCAGAACGAACTCGGAACTAGTTCAGACACCTTGTCCCTAACTTTAATCGCAAGCAGCTTTTGTTTTACCACCTGCAGTTTTGTTAAGTTGCAAATCTAGAAACAAGGCTGCCTTAAACTGGCCTGAGCTTTTCCACAGTGCAAGATGCTCACTGCGGCCTTTTCTGCTGAAAAAGCCGTGCGTGACCTTTTCTTCATAGTCCCTGATCTCCTTTGGCTGTGAGCATCGCTCAGTGGTTAACTCCGCCTATCTGATAACTTACGCATCCCTTAAATCTAGCAGTCATTGGCTGTCCTGCATTTTTCTTCATTCTACCCCAGTCTCATCATCTTGTCCTGAAGTATTTCATTAATGAGAGAAGCCCATGGGATTCACTGCTGTTTCCACAGTACTTGTGTCATCTCACAGACAGATGCGCTGCCAGCCCCGTACCACTCCTGGGAGGTCATGCAGGGAGCAGATCTCGAGTTAGCTTGAAAAGGACAAGCCTTAGAAGTGCAAGGATGTGGAAGGCGTTCCTTTGTGGCCCCTCCAGTCAACATCTAAAACTGCTGAGTATCTCATTATTTTTTTGCATTATCTTTCCCAAAATATTTAGGCACCCAGGGCAGAAGAGGAGTACAGCTAGAAGTAGGTACGTCCTAACATTTAGTCCTGACCATATTTTTCAGCAGAACAATCTTCCTCCTGCTGCTACAAAATATACCAGAACAAGTGCAAGGTATGCAGAGCATATTCAGTTCATAGACCAGTATCACCTTGAGTAGACATTTGTCACCTATATATAATAGACAAACCAATAAAAATATCAAATTTAATCAAAGATACCAGTCTGTTCCTTTGGATAGCACCACACGCTGGCATACCACTCATTTCATAAAGCCCAAAGAGGCCATATCTATTCCAACTGCATCTCTTTTAATCCCAGAAGTAGAAATCACATTAGCAGCAGTGTTCCATCTTTTCCAGAGTGCAATTTTGACCCTGAGTTTACAGTAGTAGAAAACTTAAATGGAAGAGTCTAGCAGATTCCTTTGCATATTGGCTGCATTAAACAATTACAATAGAACTATAAAAATCCTAGGGGGAAAAAAAAAAAAAACAAAACACAACACATTCCTTGTTCAAGTTCTGCAGAAGAAAGGAGTGAATTGCATTAGAGGAGCAGAGCAAACATGGCTAGAAGGAAGCCTCCCTGCCAACCAAGACAGCTAAATCTTGGGCCTGGCCCCATTAGATGCTGGAACAAAGCAACAAGAGGAACTGGGAAACTGAGGCACAATTAGTTACTAGAGACTGGACACCAGAGTTGGGTCTGGACAGATCAAAGCTATGGCCAGTGTCTGGGAATCTTCAAGAGGCTCAAGCCAGTCTGGACACTTCTTTACAGATCAGTGCAAAAGTGACACCTAAAGCTAAAGGCATTTATTCCCCTTCCCATCCCTCACACAGTGCGTTCAGCTTCCTTCACAGGAACATAACTGGCACATTAATTCCATGACGGTTCAGTGAAACTAGACCCAGAAACACGCTGAGAACAAACCATGAACCTTCAATGGTTTTCTGAACTGACACCCAATCTATCTGTCAAATCACAACCACTTGCATGCATCCAGCTAACCTCCCAGATACTCCCACTGCTCCAGCTCCAGAACCATTCTTCACTGGGGCCTCTGATGGGAGAAGTGTTACAAAAGCTGTCCAGACCTCACTACAGCGCCTGGATGAGTAGACTCAGATAAGCACCAAAAGAATCTACAGTGATCCTGGGATTACAGAGCCCTTCTTGCCTAATTAGCCGCTGATCTTGAACAAGGAATATGCAAGGCCACAGGTAGAATAAATCATACGCCTTAAAAGTAGTAGTTAAGTCCCAGAATCCAGTGCAAATATTCTCCGAAGATGCTCGCTAGCATCTAGTCCACCCTTGGCATCAGGATCCAACAAAAACCGTGGTGAGGGAGGGACCCAGAAGTTTATTTCCGTGGTGCTCGCATGGACTTTGGGAAGGTGCGCTGACACGTTGTGTCCAGCAGCCACTGCTGCAGGCTCAAAGATGAAGCGATCAAAAATACAGAGCAGGCTCGCTGCTGAAATCTGAGAGTCCAGCCTTCTCTGCTGGGGTGAGCTGTGGGGAAAGCAGAGTTGTCATGGAGGTGTCATCAAATCAGTGACGATAAATGAAAGCAAACAAGTGCCCACGCCTTTGGGTGGTGAAGGCGGCATTGGCACCGTGCCCAGGGCTAACGACTGCATTTAATTCCCCCCTCCAACTATGCCCCGGCATACAAAGTGTGCCAGCTGCCTTCAGTCTCCTTTCCACATGTGGGGACAGGCAGGTCTGCTCGTAGCAGTGGGTCCTTGTGTTGATCCCTTTGGGTGCAGTGGGCAGCAAACACAAACACCGGTGTTCGGTGGAAGGCACATCCCACCCCATCCACTGTCCAGACCAACCCGAGCACCGGATAAGAACACGGCAGGAAAAAGCCAAGACTTGCTTATTTAAAGTCTCACCATGACTTGGTTCCCATGGGAATCAGCTTCCTTTGGGAGGGGTCCCTCTGCAGCAGGCATCTCCTCATACTTCTGCTCCTGCCACTCGCTGAACTTTACGGAGTGCTTTGGGGTGTAGCTGGATAAATCTGCTGGAAGGACAAAGCTGATGTAAATATTTCTCACCACCCCAAAAGGAAGGGGGATCAGGATCCTGGCAGGGACAGCATGGAAGCTGCCCATCTGCAGTTCCCTGTTCAGGTTTGAGCCCTGTCCCCACTAAGCCCTGATTCTGCTGGCAGAAATCACCTCCATTAGCATTTCCACCTGTGTGGAGACCCGTAAGGGTCTGTAGGAAACCACCAGTGACCCCACAGCACCCACACAGTGCCTTGCTCACCTGAGTTCGGTGTATTGGGATGGAAGGTGCTATTTGGGCGTGGAACGTAAAAGGTGCAAGATTTGTCCTCCTCTGTTTCAGAAGCATGTCCTTCCTCTTCCTCCTCCTCGGCCAGTGAGCTCTCTGACGGGTACTCAAACATAGTCTGCAAACTTGTCTCATTGAAAGAGATCTTCATCTAGACCACAGCAAAGAACAATTATTAGACAGCAGCACCAGGAACCACTGATCCCAACGCTTGCTCTGGCAAAGGCCACCTCCCACACCAGGGCTTCTCCCTGGTTTAAAAGAGCCCCTGCATATCCCCCCACCTTTCCCCACGTACCTTCCCGAATCTCTTGCCACACTGAGAGAAACCACAAAGGCAGATAGCCAAATAGATGGGCTGGGGGCGGGAGGCTGAGGGTACCCCTGGCTTTTCGCCCTGGCACATACTTTGCCCTCACCTAACACTGATGCCCAGCAGCCAGGAGGAGCTGCCGGCGTGTCCCTCGAGGGATCAGTGTTGCCAAGGAGGAAAGGAAAGCATCCACATGTTGGAAAGGTGACATTGCTGATGCCTGCTAACTTGTTTGTTAGCATGCTCTAGACAACAGAAATATCAGTGATCAGGACTACATTTTTGGGAGGATGTCCAGCAAAAAGCTATTTAAGCTGGATAAAAACAGGGCTTAATACCAGAAGTGAGAAGATGGAAGCAGCTAAAGGAGAGATGGTAACAGGTGCTAGTAGAGTGGGGAAATACCAGACAAGCGAGGCCCTTAAAGGTTGTTTTGAAACCAGTTTGATTTAGTAGAATCATAGAATCATTATGGTTGGAAGAGACCTCAAAGATCATCAAGTCCAACCATATACCTGATGCCACCATGTCCACTAAACCATGTCTTGAAGTACCACATCTTAGTATTCTCACTTTGACCTTTGCACAATAACTGGGAGACTGAGAAATGAAGATGACTCCAACGTGGGAGTTCATCAAGGGAAAAACAGAATTTCATGGGTCATGAAGAAAACTGGAGAGCAAGAACACTACAAATGGAATGATGTTTAAGACCAACCCTTGCCCTAAGAGAAGTTCATCACCTGTGAATAACTGAGAAAGAAAATTTGGGATTGGCCACAGGACTGTAATCATCATCAGGACGCTGCTTAAACAAACTGGGAATAAAGCAAGGTATTTCCACTGGAAATAGGGACTGCCTGGCTCCATCCCCCCTGTAACACCCAGCAGGTAGTGGAAGGCAGCAATCGGACTCCCCTCTTCTCTCCTCCAGGCTGAACAAACCAGCTCCCCCAGCATCTCCTGATATGCCTTTTCCTCCAGCCCCAGGAGCACGTTGGTAGCCTCCGCCGGACTTGCTCCAGTTTCTCTGCATCCATCCTGTAGCAGGACACCCAAATCCAGACACAGTAACTCCCGATGTCCTCTTCCAAGTTGAAAGGGAGAGCTGAGGGAAGGGGTTGTTCCCCTGCAGCCTTACATGTCCTAACCATTATCTACCGTTCTGCTTAGATGATCCGGCTACCACACATCTCAACAGGTGGAGAAGAGATTTACCCCGTTCACACTAGCAAAAATGAAGGCTGAGAAAAAGAGTAACAGCTCTTTGTAAGTGCACCAAGAAAATTATCACCAAGGAGCAGAGAAGAACTCCTAATGCCAGCATACAACAGACAAATAAGGAGGGTAAGCTTGCCAGGAATAAAAGTAGGGAGCTATCTAGCCAACACGGATCAAGGTTGAGGAGCAGCTGCCTAAAAGGGTGTTGTGATCCCTTCTTACTACAATTAAAATTGAACTAATAGGGTTACAAACAGAACTAAAAGGACGTGGTTGCTTGTGACAGGCAGTAAGAGCTGGATGGTTCAGAAGATCTCTTCTGACGCTGTGTAACAACTGGCAAGAAGAAAGTGCAGCACGTTTACCCCATGTGCCGTATTTGCAGTTTCCCTCCTCCACAAAATACCCCACAGGCTGAGAAACGGCACACGGACCCCGGCAGCCCTCGAGCACCCACGCGTGCTGCCCAGACGCACGTATTTCTTGCAACAGCCGCCTCCCCGCATCTCCCACGCACGGAGCACGGGTGCGACGCTGCCGCCGCCATCGGGGTCTGCAGGAGCCGAACCGACAAGAGCACAGGGGCCAGAGCCGCAAACCGGCAGCGAGCGGGAGCTGGCCCGCTACCGCGTTATCCTGCACGGCCCCCAGACAGATACGCTGGAGCTATGTGGGTGATAGGGGTTTTCCAGCCAAGAGAGCGAGCATTTCAGTGCTGCTTTTCAGAAAAGCATCAAGGGAAGCTTAAACCAAATCTGGGTAACAGAGCGGGTACCCAACACCTCCTCCTCCGCACTGCACAGACAGATGACGGAGCTGCGTGCCACTCTGCCGGAGTCCGGGATGTACCTTGGACACAGGCTGGCTCCCTTCCCCACGCTCCCAGAAGGCAGGATGGAAATAACAGAGGACAACCAGTTGCCTTTCCCCATTCCCTGCCCCAGCCCTGGCCAGAGCTGCTCTGGCCTTCTCCAGATGACACATGGGGAGAGGAGAAAAGGGGTTGGAATAAAATGGCCCTGAAAATCAGAGCATCCCAGTTGCTGTTCCCTGAATTTCTCACCCCTGTTGCTGACCTAGATGCTCCCTGATCCGAGCCAGGCAGCAGAGCCGGCAGTGACCGCTCACAATGTGGCGTCTGTACTGCGGGGACGAGCCACGCTGCCAGGCACGAAGGCCACGAGGGTGGAGGTGCCCAGGGCTCCTGGAAGCTCAGAAGCTGTCCCAGAACCAGACACTGCACACGGGCTGCTTACCAGTGCTGGCAACTGTGCTGAAGGGCAAGAAGTAGTTGGCTAAACATGGAAAATAAAGGGGACAGGAGAGATGTGCCTTGGTTTCAGAATTTAAGTTTGGGAGGTGGAACTAAGTTTTCCTGGTTTTCTGCTATCAGGAAGAAATCTCTAAGAAAAATGACTTAGAGTCCCATTTGGACCAAAGCTGCATGTAGTGCAGGAGGAGCAAACAGCCTCACCAGGGAGTAACCAAAGAGGAGAAAGCAGCAGCAATGACCAGGAGACACCCCCCATGCAGTGCCCAGAGCCAGCACACCGGCAGCCCAGCCCGAGCCCTAAACTAAAGCAGCTC